CCCTCTGTTAAACATATGCTAATGGCCAGTTGTACTACACTTTAGCCTAAAGACCTACTCTATCAAATTTTAAGTCTGGCTAAAAAATTAGTACTTATACATACATACATACACACACATTCCTCTTATTTAGCTAAATGTTAACTGATTTCAAAATAAATTTCAACATGGGAATAAAACAATGATTGGAGGCATGAATAAACATAATAAGTCAGAGCTGTGTTTAAATCATCTAATGAAAAGACACATTTGCCATTTGTCAAAAGACGTTACATTCAGAAACCTATTTGTTACATAAGGGCTCCTAAATTTTAAAATAGTAGAAAAGGAGAGCTTGTAATTACTTGTGATTTCCTCAGAAAAGAGTAATTACAGATATGTGACCCATCTGCATATTTAGCATAAATAGGCTAGGTAGCTAGTAAAGCCATACTTAGTTCATATTTTGAGATAATATGAAAGTTTCAGCTAGTACTAACTACCTCAAACAAAAACATATATAAGCTTACAGCAGCAATACATACAGTTCCAACAACTGTCTATAAGAACAGGTTATATTCAAAACATCTTGGCTGCTATGAAGAAGCCTAACACTGAAGTCTGAGTCAGGACCTTCTCAATGAAGGGCTTATGAGTAAAATCCACCATCCTCAAAAAATTTTTAAGCTGAACTGGAGGAGAGAAGGATGGTCTTTTCTCATTTTGGCTGTTGTATTTGGGCTCCAAGATCAACAAATACACTATTTAAGCATCCAGCTCCTCATCAGCCTGGAAGTAATTTACCATCCCTCTATGTTGTTTATGTCATTTGCACACAAGCACTTCTACTTCAAAGACTAGCTATTGCTATGACAACAAATCAAATACAAGAGAACTTACCTTAGTCTGCATACCCAGAGTGCGGAAAAACAGAATAAGATGCGTCATGAAACGAAGGAGGTGTCCTGGGAGCACACTTCTGTCTTTGGAAAGCCACCTGCTGAATTCTTCCATCAAACCTATAGACACCAAGGAAATGTCTGTGTTAGCCGTATCATGGGGGAAAACCCAAAAAAATATTTCAAAATTACGCATTTATTCAATAAATGGAATTTAGCCTCAAAAGTCCAACAAAACAGAACAGCAATAATTTTGGAAAGACTTGGCTTAAATATCTACTGTATGTATTTTATCATTTCTCAGGAAAAGTCTTGCATATATCCTAACACATTTACATGATTTCACGACTTCTTTGAAAACTACCTTATATGTCAAACTGCAGAAAGTCAAACTACACAAAGTCCCTACTGTTTTAGAGCTCAGCTTTAAGGCGGAGTTTGCCTACTGCATGCTTCTAATCCATTCACATTAAAGTTTCTGGAAAGGTCACTCAAAATAATGTAGTCAGTTGACAATTAAAAATCACTTAGAGAAAAGCTCACCATCCACATCTCCCAGTATAATGAATTTCTGAATCACATGATAGTGTTCTTGATTCTCCTCTATAACCCTCTGGAGACAGAAAAAGAAATTTCAAACTTTGAATAAAATGTATGAAGAAAACAAACTTATAAATAAAGCAAAAGTTCCTCAGGGAAAAAAAAGCTATCCTATTTCAAAGGGTATTCTTCATAAAGACCAAGAGAAAGGCACTTGCTATCTCCATGTCAAATTACAAGAATATCGACAAACTGAAAGAAAGAACCTGAATATAGATCTGTACAGTTAATACTTTCATGGAAGAGATCCAAGACTAAGGGCTTTTTGCTCTGAAGAGGAGAATAAACAATGACGTTACAGATAATAGATTCTACAAAGTCACAGAAGAAGCAACAATGTGAATAAATCCCTAAGGAAAGGCCTGTGAAAGCTACTTGAGGAAGAAGATATTTTTTTTCCCCCGCTATAGAGGAATTAATGCATTAATACAAGAAATGCAATCCAAACACACCTGTAAATTTGCTATATGGTGAGGACTGCACTGTGTTGCAATGGCAAATGCGGCTGGGTGTATCTGTAGCTGACTGCATGTCTTTGTCTTAGCAATATGTGTCCATGCCATCAAATAAAAGTAAGTGTAGTTTCAATTTAATCATTGCAAAAGCAAACATGCTTTTGAATTTTGAAAGGTCTGTTCTGAAATATGCACACAAACCTCCTATAAAGAAAACGCAATGTAATCAATCTTCAAACATTCTGTCAGGGTTAAATAGTTGATTTACTCTTGTCTGCTTTGTATGTCCAAAAACACTTGACAGTCAGCTGTTTCTTTAGCACATGCAGCTGGTTTGGCAGATACAGGGCAAGACAAAATCTGTATAATTTTCATCATTAAAAGGTGGCAATATACTTGAATTGAGAAATAACACATTATAGAGGTAGAAAATATAAAATTAATCATTGTGCATATTTGAGCATTTCATCAAATAGTGCAGTAAAAACAGAACCCTGTGATTAGTTAAAAATGGTAAACAGGGAGGAGAAACACTGCAATTATTACATACCTTTTTGTCTGTTGCCTGAAGTTCTTCAAAAACCTTTTCAGAAGTCCAGCTTCAAAGTAGGAGAGAAAAGACAAAAAACATTACCTTGAATATTCCAAACAGATCATACAGGATGCTTTGTTGAGTGTAGGAGCATAATTTTACTTGAAACTTACTTTGTTTCTAAATAGTCTCTAGGGAGTTCTTCCATCTCCTCTGCAGTTACCACAGAGGTTCGTATTTCCTGTTCAACTAGAGTGTCCACCATGACCCTGAAATATGCCCAAACAGTATCTTCCCAGGTATCACAAACTGGAAGAAGCTACAGATTAAAAAAACAGAGCAAAAATTATCAAGAGAGGGAGAACTATCTCCCAAACACAGCAACTATAATTTAGGATCCAAATTTGGGCACCAAAGCAGACTAATAACCATCACGAACAGCAGCCTTTCCTTCATCAAAGCAGGATAACTGAAAAGTCAGCAGGAATAATACTAAGAAAAGACTATCATATATTTAGTTAAGACACAGTCCTACAAGGAGCAGCAGTGTTTGCCATTATCCTGTTTACTACATCTTTAAAAGTACAATAACCAGTGATTGCAATATTTCTGATGAAATCTGATGATATCACTGTCATATACGAAAAAGAAAAAGCACAACTACCAAACAATCTAGGAGGCTTGACCTACCTGTTTGAGGTTTCCACTCAGGGCTGCATAGATTGCTCTTTCATACCTATTAAACTGCTCCTAAAATAAATAGTAAAAATACCCAAACTTTTAATTACAAAGCATTAAAGTTTTCTAGTCACTTTATATTAGATTAATCCATTGGAAAATGTTCCATTTAACAGATAGAAAACCACAGGGGACACAAGGAGCCAAAACAAGAATAGCAAGTGACTTTCCCTTCACTAGCATCCCCTTGTAACTTACCTGAAAAATTTATATTGACCTGGAAAGAAAGTAATGTTTTTCCTTTCCCATTTAATTAAGTCAAGATGAAAGTCAAAGTGTCAGTGGTTTCACTTTCAACAAGAAAAAAAAAGGAACTCATTTCCTGAAAAACTGCTGCTGATTATGTAGATTTCTCACTACAGTACATAAATATGTTATTTCAGAAGTCCTCTTAGAAGCATTAATTGTAAATCCTATAAGCAGCAAACACAGAGGGGGTAGGTTTACTTAAAATCATGTTTCAGAGTTCAGGAAAGTTCAAATGCATGCGTTAATATCAAGCAAACCAGCATTATCTTACCTCTTCAGCCATACGCCAACAACAAATTTTCCAAATGCACCTGTATGGATTGCCTTGAACAGGCTCCAGCTCTTTTCCTACATGCAAAGAGTAATAAAAAATAATTAAAAAAAAAAGGGTAGAGGGTGCGAGGAACAAAAGAAAAAAAATGCTGTTAAAAAAAGAGAACCCAGTAACAGGTAAAGCCTATTTTCTGTTATTAACCCAATTTCAATAGCTTTGAAACTCTTCCCAAAGCATTTTGATGCTTTTGACTGAGCCACAAGGTGGCTGTTCTGGGAAGTTTGATAAAGTTGTATCTATAAGTTACAGTATTTTTAAAGCTTGGCTGCTATCTAGCTTTGAAGAAAATTATTGTTTTGGCTATAGTGTATCTACAATGTCAACATTTGGAAAAACAACACAGTTAAGGAAAAAAAAGGAATTTTTATATCTTAAGGAATTGAAACTTTTAAAAAAGTCACTGTTTCAGTGCTGCTATTTTGCATGCACCTGCATGAGGGCATTCAAACCCATATAACAGCAAGTTAGGTAGGTAGATTCAAAACAAGCCCAGGACACTGGTGTAGCATGCAGATAAAAGTGACAGGCTACTGGGATTTGAAAAGTAGGAAAGCATTATGCCTTCCACTCCCACCTATAACCAACACTTAGACTTGTTCTTAAATTCCTTGCTAAATCCTGCAATGTCCTGGGCACAGAGAGAAGCAAGGCACTGTGTTATAAATGGGACCGTGTGCAAGGAACCTTAGTACCAAGGGAAAAGGTAGTTTAATAATTTTCAAGTATTTTAAAAGCATCTCTATTTCCTGCACTTGCATTTGCTGAACTCCAGCCCTACTACACCTTTCTGAACATATAGAGTCCAATTTGAGTTTGTAGGCAACAAAATGTGTACTAGATAGCACAAGTCAGATGTTAAGAAAATACAGACTGAAGTATTATATGGAGGTGGAGAAGATCTGTCTGGTACTCTGAGATGTCTACTTCCTAGTGATTATGCCTGATTTTAAAAAAGAAAGTGACTTTAACATATTTAGATGAATTCAGTGAACTCATACTTTCAACTAAAGTGATTTCATATTAGTTTTTACACGTTAACAGACATGGAAAAATATTTTAGATACGAAAAAGGCTCTTAAGAAACAGCTATTTCTCTTTGCCACAGACAGATATTAAGAGAAAGCCCTCTGCTCTATTTTTATATCTGTCTCAAATGTACTTTAGAGCAGATACCTCCATTTATGTTTGGATCATGATATAGTTTCCAGCCTTCCAAAGTTGCAGCTCTCCAGGCCTGACCACATCGTTTGCATAAGCGCTGTGCCTGAAAAATAATGGATCTTCTCAGCAACACACTTAAAGGTAGGAAAATCTCCAGCTTCTTCTTTAAAAATGTGAACATTATTAAAATTGTTAATTTGTGTAGATTCTAGTATGTGAGAAATAAGCACAGAGGATCTTAAAACAACGGAAAGATTTCAAAGTAAATGTCATTCACTTTTTTTTTCACCAAACTTTTTAGTTTTTCAGTCAGTATTTATAGCAATGCGAGAAATGTGCTACAGCTTCATCTTTGTTAGCTTAAACAGCTACTACACAACCTTCTGATAAGTTTAAAGTGTTGTCCTGTTGCTTATATGTATAATCCATCTCTTCATGCAGTCATCTACTTTTCCATTTGACTTAGAACCCCAACTGAAGCTGTGAATTTATATTCACGTTCGTAACGCCCTGCAGCAATATGCTCACATTCCCATAATATCAGACAATGAATAGATGTGTGCTGTATTGGAACAGAATATGAGCAAGTAACCATATTCCTAAGACTAAGGTCTTTGCAACAAGACTCTCAAGTCCCCTTTCCCTCCCCTTACTCAACTGCCACTATATATACATGCATGATAATCCACTGATGATTATAAACACAGTTAGGAAGTTCTCTGAAACATTCTGTGTGTTTTCTGGCAGTATTTAGTATCAAGCCACAGGAGTGAAAAAATATTGTCAAACAACCAAAAAACCCCAAAGTACATTTTTTCCATAACATCTACTCTATGCCGAAAATTACTTAACTAAGATTTCATTAAAATGCTAATTTAGCACTCAATATTGACAACAAGTTGAAAATCATCACAAGCCAAACTTGAACAGACATTTTAGTATACAGCTTTTCATTGGTTTTAACAATAAGATAATTTAAATCTTACTTAATTAAAAGTTATGCTACCTCATCTGTCATTCCTGCTCTGATGAGAGTGAAGAGATACTTCAATAACCTTGCATCATCTTCTCGGTCCAAATCATCAAGTGGCAGTTTCTGTCGTATAGGAGCATCTGGATCCTGGGAGAAAAGAAGTCACCACTCATCCACACAATGCCTATATGTCTCTTCCATTAAATTCTTGCCCTGTTTTATAATTTGGAGTCATTTTTTCATGTTGGCACAACAATCTGTACAATGCATGTAATATTGAGCATGATACTTTTCCGTTTTTCCTCTCTCATTTCTTTTATTCCTCTTCTGTCACTGTTCCTATTGAAAGAAGCCAATGCAATTTATTTATTCCACTGCCTTGTTATTTGCCCTAAACTTCTCATCTTCCAGGTCTCTTCTCACCTTCAAACATCCTTTCCCCTTCTGTCTATCCATCTACCACTGTTTCTCCTCCTCCACCTTCTGAGAAGGCTTTTTATAACAGCAGCACTCGCTCCTATTTAATCCAAACAGATTTTCTTAAGCCACTCACAACCTCAGATCACTCCCAATTGAATCAATCTTCTACGACTGCTTTGCTGTCACTGGGGCAGTTCATTACCTCATTCTGCTGGACAGCACTTTCTTTTCTTTCCTTCTCTCCTATTAGCTCTTACTATAGTAGCTCTCAAAGAATTGCTTCAGGACTTGGTTTCATTGTACTAGTCACTGCATAAAGATAGAATTCCCTTATTTGTAATGGCTCCAATGGCTCCCAAACATTTTTCTTAGCTTTTCTGGTTAGGAACATGAGTATCTTTCAGACATAAAAAGTCATAATAAAGCCCTTTACTTCACCAAATAGGCCACAAGTACTTGTGATAGGGGGTGGGGATATGGAAGTGACTCCTGAAAGAAAACAGAAGTCCACAGTGATCCCAAAAAGAACTTTTGAGGTGCCCTGCCTCACAATTTCTGTACTGATTTTTAGATAGCACAACTATCTAAGAATTGATGGAAGGCTGTGAAAATAGCTCTCTCTAACATATTTTGAAATCAAGCCTTATTTTTATCTAATACTTACCAACTCTGTTACCAGAGCTCGAGAACTTCCAATGTATGTACTTGACTGTCGCTGCTTCAGGGTATGCAGTGTGTTATCCCTGAAAGCAGTGGAATGTTTTACAGAAAACTGTTTTTTTAGCAAGCATCTTTTAATAAGACACAAATATTGAAAGATATTTTTTCTTACATGGAATATGTTTACAGAACAGACACTTGGTTTGGTTGATTTACTATGGACTGTGCTACTGTTGTGAAAATCCAACATTTCACAAGAGGTACAACATTGCAATCAATACACATATCTCTGATTCCTTTCAAAAGCATTGGAATCAATACACATATCTCTGATTCCTTTCAAAAGCATCCATTATTTCAATCATTCATGTATTTAACTATTAATTGATTTCTGCATAAGCAAAATTTCCCATTAGCATTCACTATAAATTCAGTCAAGGACAGAAATTCACCTTAGGATAAACATGATTCCAAAAGCCTATATTCACTGGCCATTAAAAGCAGGTTTATAAAGGTAGTCTTTGGTCTTTTCTGCCATATCCATCAGTGATAATAAAGATGACAATAATGGCTTCTAGTGAAGGGTCATAAAGGGACAACAAGTACTTAAACAGGCAAAAATTAAAGCCAGACAAAGAAATGACCACCTGAGAAACACATAAAAGTAATCCTCATCTATGTTAAGATTAATTTAAATTGGTTTGATGGTTTTTCCTTCCATCCTTGCCTCCCAAAATGCAGTAACTGACTTCGAGCAGAAGATATACTTCAGCAGACAGGTAAGAAATCTCAATTTTTACATCTCTGACTTTGAAGAAAAGAAGTGAATGCAATGAACAACTTAAAAAATCCACTTCTTTCCAAGAGCGATTCAGTGATTGTGAATCTTACACTTGATGGGAGCATGTATATAATTAAAAAAAGTCTGAACTCACCAATATACTGTTTTTGCATAAAACTCAATATTATCGGAGAAGTCCCCAATTTCATCCTTAGCAATGCTCTCTAGCCAATCTACCACCAGCTGGAATAAAATTAAATTGCATTTTTAAAGCAAATATGTAACAAATAATGCTTTTACTGTCTTCCTCTCATTTCTGTATCTATTTGTTATCTACTCAGCAATCAAAAGGCATACAAATCCAGAAGACTATTTCACTTGCGTTTTAAGTATCCAGTATGAAGGTTGTTGGCACTTAATCTCTATTTCTCATTGGATGCTGCAGTTTACTACAGTGCTATTTAACAGTTTATTAATCACAATCAACAGTAACAGATGCTGCAACTGGGAACAGCTCTCAGCCTTTCATTGTCCCCAAGCCAGACTGAAAAAACATCCTGACCATTAGAAACTTGAGAGCATTATTTTTATGCATACAAGGAATACTACACTTGAGTGAATATGAAAAAAAAGTTTTAGAAACAACTTCAAAAAGTGCATAGACCATTAGTGTTATAAACATTTAATCTATTTTCATTCTCATATTAAAAACTTTCCATCATACCTGACTTTGTCGAACAAGTGCATCTTTCTGAAACAAGTTGTCTACGTTTGTTTTTTCACTAGCAGTTAAAACCTGTTTAAGAAAAAGCTGATTATTACTTAATGGAAAAGAAAACTACTGCAAAAAAGGAATATCAAACTGAACACATAGTAATTCATAAACTTTCTACAAGTTCAGTATGCTACCTCTCCCCTCCCCCTTTTTAAAAAATGGATGACACTGTAACTTGTTTTATTTGGATGGTCCTTCACATCCAGTTACACTAAAAACTGTAATAATGAGATTCAGCATATAATTCACAAATTTATGACCACAGAAAGATTCTACACAGTAGATCCACGGATTCCACTGGCTGCACTCATATCATCCTAAATCCCATTTGTTACTATACATTAAAAAGATGAGATTTTCCAAGATCATGTGCACATTTAACATAAACAAGTGTGAAAAAACCAAAAAAATAAAACCAGAGCCCTGATCCTTCTATCTGATCTCCTGCACTAATTTAGCTTCCATTAGACTTGCAATAAAAAGAGAACAGGAGATGCATTTTTCTAAATTACACAGACAAGAGGAGACTGGGTTTTTTTGGCACAACAGTGTTTAACAGTGACAACTTAGCACTGGGAATTCTAGAGTAAGCTATTTTATTTTCAAGAAGAAAGCAACTGTGATCACAAATTTTACAAAGGCAGAGTTTTTTTACTTATTGTTTTGTCTTCCTAAGCAATTCTGGCAGCAAAGACTGGAAGTGCTGTATTGACATAGACAAGACGACTACAGCTGAAACAAGAACGCTAAACACCCTGAATTTCTCTTGAAATAAATTGTAGTCAGAGTTGCAAAGGCTAGACAGTTTGAGACCACATGTTCTTCTTTTAGCCAAAGCAAAATTATCTCTGACCTATGGGAACATTACAGCTACTGCTGCAGCTTTTAAAAATAAATAAATAGTTATTTCTAGTGAATTTAGATTTGTCTTGTGCAGAGCCAGGAGTTGGATTCAATGATCCTCGTGGGTCCCTTCCAACTCATGGTATTTTATGATTTTCCAAGTGTATGTGGAATATTTAGGGAAATAAAACAAACAATAGTTTAGAATATTTTTTACACTAGCATTCTCTCTTTAGAACTGAATATTTAGGTTTACTCTTCACAATATATGAAATAATTTTTGTCTTGATAAAAATCAGTCTCATTTTTCACCTTTGAATTTTGAGATTCTAAAAGTACAATAAAAGCATTTAGCCTGTATTTTGCTATGACACTTAAAAAAAACCAACAAAAAAGTCCACACTCACTGTGATATCAAATGCAGTTTCATCTTCCAGTGCAGACTGTATTCTGTCTCTAGAAATAAAAGTGCAAAACGTTAATGATTAAAATAAAGCTGAGAAAATTTAACAGAATGCATGAGTAAAATTACTTTAAAAACATTTACAAAAATGTTTAAAAAAAATACTAGAAGTTGCAAAGGTAATAAGAACAGTCCTCTTTAAAACTTTCATTTCTGTAAATAGATTATCAATAGACACATATATCAGAACCTAGTTCCATAAACAGCTTGCTAATAGGTACTTAATTGCTTCACTCCCTATGTACAAACTCATACAAAACATATCCAAGAAAGTCATCTCTGTACAAAAACATAACATGCTTTTCAAAGGAATTACCTATAAAGCGAGGACAACAGTCTCCAAGTTACCATCTCCTGCTTAAGAAGCCACAAGACACTGGCAGTTTTGGAAAACTTTTGCTGTCCAGGAGTTGCCCGATAAACTATTTTCCCCAGTATATTCACCTGAGATAGATAAATTTATACATAGTTAACACTGCCCATCAGTGTAGTTTTTTTCTAAATGCTTTCAACAACCGAGTTTTATTACCATCTCTTCAAAATAGGTAGGCAATACATTGTAAATTCTCTTAATTAGTAATAAAAAAACCTCATTAACACAGACTAGAGGATATAAACCAAGAGAGTGGTTGCAGCCAGCAAAATCCCCAACTCTTTTCCCATCTACGTCAATATCAAACATTAAGTTAGCCCTAATGGTATTTGTGAGAACATTTATGCATTTATCCATGCCTGAAAGATACTTTCTCCTTTCTAGCTCTGTTAAATGAGGGAACCCAATCTGCTGGTTACCACATAATTTATAGTATCACCACAAAAAAATTCTACTATTTTTTCCTTTATTTGCTACGAAGAAAACTACACAATGAAGTCTTTTCCATTGGTAGCTAGTTCCAGAGCTCCTACTGCTTCCAAGAAGAGTCCCAATCTCTTATATTTTAGGGGTACCCAATTCATCGGGCATCAGTATAGTCATCCGTTTTCAAGTGGGAGGTGAACAACAGATTTGGAGAAAAGGAATACTTGTACCAGTAAGATGCAAGAGGGGAGCACAGTTTTCTGTTCTCTTTTATTACCCCCTCCCCCCCCAAAAAAAATATGAAGAGTTTATGGCTGCTGGGAACCACTGGGCTAATCTGAGGGTACAGCTGAGAAGCAGCACAATAGCTTAGGGCTGTCCCTCCACTCCCATGCCAAGCCCCACCAGCAACATCCAAGCTACACCTTAGAGCAGCATCTTTCACTCTTGTACATCCTTGGCAACATACAGTCAACTCCCCTCAGTTCCACAGGGCTTAAAACACCCACTCTATTATTCCCTGACCTTGTAGATGTTATCCATATTCTCCAACAGGAGTTCCACTATCTCACAAAATAATCAAGTTCGCATTTATTTTCCTCTTGTCTGCTTCCTACCTGAGCACCCGTACAATTGTGGTACATGCCTCATCAAAGATCTCAGCATTCTCTATCTCAGCCCCAGTAATAAATTTGCACAAAAGATGGCTAGCAACCCTGCATTAAGAACAAATTTTCCTAACACAGACATAGGTATGAAGTCTCTTAAAAAAACTTAATCTGCACACCTCTCTTGTGATCAACACTTACTGACAGAAGCATCATAATTTCTTCCTTTCAGATTGTCAATCCCTGCTGATTCTGAACTGACAATCAAACGACCAGTCAAATGAAGAACTGTGTCTAAAATCAGAGACACCTTAGAGCCAACGCTGAGTCCTCTACGGTCAGCTTGTTAGTAACGTAGCAGAAAACTTAAAGCATCATAATACAATGATTTTATTTATTTATACCTGACAAAAAAAAGTATACTTTAATCCAGTTTATTAACATTAAGAAAAACATCTATACATCTGCTACTGTGTGTTGCCACTTGACACTTGCAGTGGAGTGGCAGCCAGAAGACATTTTTTAGTATTCAGCAAGCTACACCACGAGTATTCCTGTGCCACAGTAGTGTATGAAGAAAGAGTGATGTTCATCATTGAGTGATACTCAATGCTAGCACGACTAGTAACACTGCAACCAGCTGGAAGATTTAAAGTATGTTAAGCACTGTGACTTCTCAGCAATACTGCTTGGAGAAGGGCAAGTAAACTACTTACCTGACTGTTACAAATATTTTCATACTCATCCACAAGATCAAAAATGGTAGTTGATGTATGCTTCAGGAAGGAATGCAGAAAATCTGAGTACATGCTCATAGTAGCTAGGACAGATTTAATAAAAAAGCCATATTAGTCAGATGCAACTTCATATAAAAACCCCAACAGACTACAAAAAAAATCCTTCTGATGACAAGGCATCTCATCTTTCACAAATTTAAATGAGAACAATGATGATATCAACTATTTAGATCTGATAAAGTCATAAGAACTTATCAGCTAAGACAGCAAGACAGACAGAAGCTATGAACTAAGTAAAATAATTATAAAACTTGTGTTGTGGATATGTCATCTGCAAAAGTTTTAAAAGCAAACTCATTTGAGTATCTCCACAGTCCACTAATCCAGTTGTGTCTGACATCACCAGAGCATCCCATTTTTTCCATCAGGTTCCACTGAAGACACAAATTCGCAAAACTCCAATAAACTGGAACAGCTTAATTTTATGAACTTTTTCAACTAGACTGTTTTTGACTAAGAAATAGCAGTAAAATAATAGAGAAAAAACCCCAAACATATAAATTTATATCCTACATATAGGATTATTATGAAAACTCCAGATTGTCTCACCAGCTTCCCCAGGATCATCCTCACGCAACAGTACAGCACTCATAGTGACATCTTCTGTCACATCGGACAGGTCTGGATTTACAAACATTCCTGTCTGCTGAGGCGAGAGTGCCATTGTCCAGCTACTTTCATCCAACTAAAACCACAAGAACATAAAGAAAATAAATCACAATCTCAGATATTACAAGCCTAGCTCCACGTTTTTTCCTTCTATATGAACGGTATATAAACAGAGAATCCTAAAAAACTAATAGTGAAATAACTGCATTTAGATAAGGTGCAATTATGCCTTTAACAAACAGCTCTGAAAAGATAAATTTTAATCTGGAAAAAGAAAAATCCCATTTTTCCCCTGAAAATAACTAAAATGGAAAAGTTAATCTAGTAAACCTACCTACTTTAGAACATCAGGTATCACTTTTCATCGTAAAACAAATAAGTCACTCTAAACTTTCATATTCTATTATGCTAAATGCTTAGCTAGTCTTTCAAAGTAAAAAGATCACAATATTGACCAGGTTCTAAAGCAACTGTGAAAAGTTAAGCAAAACAGCTAAAATTTGAATCAATCATTAACCTGTCTTTCAACCTTCTTGGTGAATTGCTCAAAACCATTTGATCAATCACAGCAATATGTTTAAAATAATAGCAAGTATCAGAATATTAAAGGAGGAAATAAAGACATACCTATACTTTGTGGGGAGTATTTCAGGTGAGGTAGTTCATAACATATCTGACACCAGAGCAGCAAAATGACCAAAACAGAAGACTGACTCTACATATACTGCACTGACAGGACAGCTTCCTAGAGGTGTTTCCATGCCAGCAATTGCCTTCTCAGCAGCAATTAATACTATACAAAGACTTAGAGATGTCCCACTGGCTGATTGTTTTTCTGGACTCTTGTTTCTACCCACAATATTCCTCTTGCCTGATCTCTCTCTGCCATTAATCCCCTCTAGCCAACCAGAACAGAATGCTATAGTCCTCCCTCCACAGAGTAAAAATAACAAACACAGTTCCAGCAAGATCATATCAGGTCTCTGTGGGAAATACAAAAAGGGCTGATGAGTGTTCTGATCTACCAGCAAGTAAATTTCCACAAGTAGAAGTCCTTTTTCCTGTCACCCTCCTCTGAAAGCCTTTGCCTAGTCCCAAATTTCCCCTACTAATCTAAACTGGATTCAAGTCAGAGCACTAAACGTTACCCTAAAAACGCATTCCACTCACCAAACATTAGCCAAAAGAGGCTCTGAATCAGAGGAAAAGTACCAGTGCTAAGAGCTGTGTACATGTTGATCAACTAGGCCCTAGAAGGTGATAACTTATAAAGAAACAAATAAAAGGGAGAATTAATTAAAACATATATACAAAAAGACATCTAAACTTCTTTTAAGTTAATTTAAAAATAAACAGATAAAATACTTCAGGCATCCCTACTGATAACTTTTCCAATCAATGTTTTTCCAAAAACATTGAAGTAGAAGATAATCTATGTCCTCTAAAAAGTCATCAGAAGAGCTTATTCTTTGAAGCCCAAACTTTAACACCTAAATGAAGCCTAATACTGGAGAGTGCTAAAATAAGAAAAACCTCCTATTATTCCTCACTGCATCTTCTCAAAGAACAACACTAATAAATAACACCAGCAGCAAGCAGCAACAGTAGTACTAGGAAGCTTATACCACCCACTGTTTGTCCTTGGTGCAAACAACACAGAAACGCTGTAAACTTGTAGTTTCTTATGTTTCACAGGAACAAAAGAGAAAAAGATGCTCTAACCATCTTACCATGGACAGATTGCCGAAAAGCCCAGAAGTTGGTAGAATCAGAGGAGATTTCCCTCCTGTTCCCAGGATGGCAGACATATCTGATGGCTTCATGGAGCTCCGATGTAGTGCAGTACCTGAAAGAGAGAGGCTTATATGTGACACACCTTCAGTTACTAGAGTTCATTGGTAAACACATATGAACACAAAGAGCAGTGCATCTCCAGTCACTCTTTCTTGGAAATTCATCTCCAAATCCTTAAAGCAAAAGGCAACCACAAATCTGCTCTACCAAGCATTACATCTGCTCCAGATACTTCTGCACATCAATCCAGTGCCTAGTGTTCCCAGGAGTATCTAACTCATGTAAACACTGCTTTGCAAGATAATAAATACCACATCCTATGACAACAGACCTTCCTACAAACCAAACATCACAGAATTTCCATCAAGACAATAGGTACTTTGGTCCCCTTATCAATCACAAACAGCTTCGGAAGCCATCTAAAAATACTGATTGCATCAAGACAGTGACAGACAGGAGCTGTGTCAATAGTGGCAGAGGGAATGACATTTTGGTAGCCAATTTGGGGAGAGGAGCGCTTGTACAACTTTCAACAGCAGTTCCTGGTAATAAGACAGCTTCAGTCAGCATTGAGATCACTAATATTTCCTTTTGGTCTCCTGAAATCCAAGGCATCGAAAAATGCCCACAACAGCACATACAACCCCAAAATAAAGGGCATGTCCTGGGTCTCCATCAGACTCCATCCAGTTTAGATGCAAAAGATCAAATGCCTATGGTACTTTTCTTTTTTTTTTTTCCTCCAGTGCCTAAGGTAAAGAGAACAGCAGAAGGTGCAGCCATCCTCTTGGAGCTTGATGGAAAACATACTGGCTAGATGAGGACAAAAAAGAGGAATTCCCAATATGAATGCCTGAATGATGACAAAATAAAGATTATAGGAAGACACTGTGACAGAGAAAGGGGAGGTAAGCCCTGGTGAGGACATGGAAATGTAAGGAAGGGGCACTTTTCTTTATTTCAGCCACAACTAGTGAGAGAGGCTCTAAGAAGATTACAGACCTTTTCACAGTATGTTTAGCATCAAGTCAACACTAAGAACAACAATCTTGACACATAAGTAGCTTCTGCTCAAGAAGAAGGTTGATGCTAACAGCATTTATCTTTGCTGCTGGTTGCCAAAATAGAAGCCAATAGATGTTACAGTAAACAAGAACAAGCAGGGGCTACACAGAACTTGGCAGGAACCTTGTGAAATCTTGAAGAATCAGTCTCTCTGGAGCTTCATATCTTTGCACAAGTGCCAGTTACAGAAGAATCCCCAAACATGCTCCTAATATGGGTCCACTGATGCAGAACTTGGGATGAGACTGGGAGGTTTCAGGGCAACCTGACCCTAGCCACCATGTGTGGTTCCACAGCCTTTCTGTAAGGTGTGCTAATTTCTTCTTCTGCTAGTGGAGAGCGAATAATTAACTGACCCAACCAATAAATAAATATGCAGAAAGGTCAGCAACAAAATTAACCTGTCAGAAAAAGAACGATGGAAAAATATCTGAAGACACACTACAAAACCAGACAATCTTGAAGAATCAGAAGCTACTGCAAAATCAAAAGAAGGTTGCAAAAAGAAGGAAACAACAAACTGCTCACTAAAGCAGAGAAACTGAAATGATACCAGACACATTCTTGTGCCAAACAATGAAAATGAAGCTCAAACCCACTCTAAAAACTAAAGGGCAGAAATTCATTGTTAATCAGGAATAGCATAAACAAATAACTTATGAACATAAATGCTGCCTGCTACTAGGTGATTTTGTCCATTTTTAGAAATGTGTTTAACTGCAAAATCACAGAATCACCTTGTAGTTGAGTGTATTGGGTTTGCACAGCTAGGTTTTGGTAGTGACGGTGGCTTCTGTCAGAAGCTGCCAGAAGCTTCCCCCATGTCCAGCAGAGTCAATGCCAGCCAGCCCCAAGATGGACTCGCCGCTGGCTAAGGCCGAGTACCTCAGCAGTAGTGGTAGCACCTCTGGGATAACAGATTTAAGAGGGGAAAAAACTGCTGAGGGAACAGCAGCAGCAGAGGGAGGAGTGAGAAAATGTGAGAGCAACAACCCTGTAGAAACCAGGTGAGTGCAGAAGGAGGGACAAGAGGTGCTTCAGGTGCTGGAGCAGAGATTCCCCTGCAGCCCGTGGTGCAGCCCATGGTGAAACAGCTGCTGTCCCCCTGCAGCCTGTGGAGGTCAGCAGTGGAGGAG